TTCTTTTGTTCTGGTATGTGATTTACATTTCATTGCATTCGGTAGCAAAGGATGGAAATAGAAATATAGGTGTTTCCCCCTTTTTCATTTTTTTGGTATAATGCAATATGGAAATACAGCTGAAGTTGGGCTGTATAAACCATATATGATGCTAATACTATTATGAGACACGGAGATTTGAACTTGAAAAATTTTATAGATTAATTTTTTTACCAAAAGCTAATATTACTACTATTTTCTCTTTTCCAGCCCCATTCAAACGTTGTAATTTGAGTATTTTCTAGTTAGGTTGTTCCCATCATCTTATATTTCTTGTATTTGTGGCTTAAGAAACATTTGAGTTTTCATTAATTAATTGTTCATTATCACTTAAATCTTGAGTGTAAAGGGAGCTTGGTGAAGTTTTTGGATGACAATAACGCATTAGCTGGACACTAATTAGGATGAAGAACAAGAATTGAGTTATGTGGGTTAATATTATAGTTGGCATTCCATAATGGAGCAGCAGCAGCAATACCGTTCTTAATCATTTCAATAAACTTGATTAATGGTTGATAACAATTATGGTGTCCATGAAAGGGCACGCGTTAACTAGTTATTAAAGTCAAAAGTTTCAGCAGGTATGAAATCTTCATGATCAGTTTGATTTTAGATTTTGAATGATGGAAGCCATATGAGTTCTTTGGTTCAATTACAAAGGAAGGAACAAGTCATGCTATCATGGAGCCAGGTTTTTTCATTTAGTCAGCAGTTTTGTTTCTTGCATATACTTGTTTTCTTGTTCAATGCATTTATTTTTGCTTAATTTGACAAGCTTAAGTTATATTGACATATGATGTTACAGGATACCAAATTTTGATGCCTGGTATTGGTAAGCCTAATGCTAGAAAAATGTCTAGTCTTTTCTGTGTATTATTGGAGGTCTGGATTCTATTATTGGTGTTTGCATTTCTTTTGGTCACGCAACGGAAAGTAAATCTCTTTTCCTGCCATATCTCCATTTTCTTTGTAAAAGTGGGATTCGTATTTTAGGTGCAAATTGTAACCATTAAAGCATAAACATATTTTGTTTCTGCTAATAATAACAATTCTGGTCTCAGGTTCCATGATTTTTTGGTTGACCAGTCCAGCACTTTGCAAAGAATTTTCAAATCCATATGATCATATCCACCATAAGTGCTGCACTTACTCCAATGGCAATTGGTGCAACCTGCAAATCATAAACCTTGTTATCATTTATAGCATTTTGACTCTGAACCAACTTCGTTTCAACTGCAGTAGCAAACCTAAAGCCTCCCATCCATTTTTTTAAAAAGAAAAATCTAATACAGTACCAGAGAAATGTGAATCTATTTTCTGCCTTCCAAGTTCTGTAGAATATTTTTCTTGGAAATTGAGGACATTGCAAATCATACATATGCTAATCAACTCTAATGGGGAAAACATGTTTCTGTATATTATGCCTCGTGGTCATGG